TGCTTCTTTACTGGCTTGTGTAGCTGCTACATATTCTGCCTCTATTTTAGATGTAGCTAAAACTGACTGCAATTTTGAAACCTAGCTTACAGCTCCACCAGCAACTTTGAACACATATCCTGTAGTAGATTTGCTTTTATCAAAATCTTCTGCATAGTCAGAATCTACATACCCATTGATTAGTAAGTTTGATCCTCCGTAACATAATGCAACATTTGAGGTCCCTTTGATGTATCTCAGGATCCTCTTTACTGTATCCCAATGCTCTTTGCCTTGATTCGCCATGTACCGACTAACCACTCCTACTGCTTGTGCAATGTTTAGTCTTGAGCATATCATAGCGAACATTAAACATCCCACTGCCGATGCATACGGTACTCGAGACATCTCCATCCTCTCTTCTTCATTGCTAGGACTTATACTGGAGGATAATTTGAAGTTAATAGGAAGAGGGGTAGAAATTGTCTTACAATCTTACATGTTGAATCATGACAATATCTTCTTCAAGTAATTATTTTGTGAAAGCTAAATCTTCCTATTACATCTGTCTCGGTGAATTTGCATCCCTAGAATCTTGTTTGCTGATCCCAAGTCCTTCATTTCAAATTCCCTAGTCAGATGTTCCTTCAATTCTTCAATATGATCTTTATTGGGTCCTATAACCAACATGTCATCCACATACAATAGTAATATAACAAAATTGTTATCACCAGACCTCTTGAAATAAGCACAAGGATTTGCATTAAGTTTGTTGTATCCAAGGCACATAATGAAGGACTCAAATCTCTTATACCAACACCTCGGAGCCTACTTTAGACAATATATATATTTGTTCAACATGCAAACCAAGTTCTTCTTTTCTTTTTCTTCAAAACCTTCAGGCTGGAGCATATAAATCACTTATTCAAGATTTCCATGAAGAAAAGTTGTTTTAACATTTAGCTGCTCTAGATGTAAGTTCAATGTAGCACACATTGCCAAAACTACTCGAACTGTTGTTAGTCGAACCACATGAGAAAAGATTTCATTGAAATCAATACATTCTTTTTGAGCATATCCTTTGACCACCAGTCTTGTACGATACCTCTCCACTTGATCATCACCATTTTGCTTTATTTTGAAGACCCGTTTATTACCAATTAACTTCCTTCCTTGTGGTAGTGGCACAAGGTCTCATGTATTATTTTTATGAAGGGCTTCAATTTCTTCTTGCATCGCCACCATCCAAAGTGAAGCATCAGAGCTGTTTATTGTCTCTTGGTATGTTGATGGCTCACCGTCCTATGTTAAAAGGCAGTATGCAATATTATCTTCTATAACATAAACTAAGTGCCAATTGGGACATCTTCTCACACGATCTGATTGACGAGTTGTTGGAGCTTCAGAACTCTCTGGTTCTTGTTCATCATGTGCTGGTTCTGCTTCAGAAGAATCTCATTGTTCAAGCTCTTTTTCCACATGTATCTGCGTAGTCTCTGGATTTTTAGTACTATCATCTTCTTCTTTTCTTTGTAGTTTATCTTCTACAAAGACTATTAATGATCACTTCACGGGCAGTGGAATCCCACAAGCGATACCCCTTTACTCCATCAGCATACCCCAAGAATTTGCATTTCTTGGATTTTGGATCCAACTTTGAAATTTCTTGGGAGTTGTACATCGCGTACACAATACTTCCAAATATATGGAGGTTGTTTTACCAGTCCACATCTCCATTGGTGTCTTCAGCTCTATTGCAGTTGATGGAGCTCGATTCACCAAATAACAGGCGATATTGATTGCTTCTGCCCAAAATGATTTTTCTAGGTCTGCATCCCTCAACATTACTCTTTTTCTTTCTAACAAGGTTCTGTTCATCCGCTCTGCCACTCCATTTTGTTGAGGATTGTTCACCACTGTGAACTGTCTTTTGATGTCTTCTTTCCTGCAAAAGTCATCAAATTCTTCACTTGTGTATTCTCCTCCATTATCTATTCTGAAAAACTTGATCTTATTTCCAGAATCAAGTTCCACCCGCACTTTGAAGTTTTTTGAAAGTTGAAAACACATCTGAGTTCTTCTTAATAGGGTACACCCAACATCTCCTGGAGTAGTCATCAATAAATGAGACAAAGTGTTTTGCTCCGCCTAGGGATGTAACTGGTACTTGCCATACGTCAGAGTGAACCAATTCTAGAACATTTTTGCCTTTAGAATTTGATGTGTTGAATTTCAACCGGTGCTGGTTACTTGTTATGCAACGCTCACACAAAGTAAGTGATACCTTTGTTAAGTCTGGAAGTAGCTTTTGTTCCACAAGGACTTTCATTCCTTGTTCTGACATGTGTCCAAGTTTATGATGCCATAGTATTGCAGAATCTGAACTACATGAGGCAACAGAGGCTTCTGCTTCTTGCAAAGTCTTTCCCTTCAGCATGTACAAGTTTGCAACTATCTTTTTGCCTTTCATCACCACAACCGCTCCATGGAACACCTTCATTATTCTTTTTCGTGTTTCAATCTTACTTGCATTATTATCCAATAATCCGTAGGATAATAAATTTTTCTTCAGGTCTTTCACGTGTCGCACATCTCGAACAACTTTAATTGTTCCATCATACATCTTCAATTTGATGGTTCCCATGCCAACGATCTCTAAGGCATTGTCATTGCAACTATACACAGATCCTCCTGAGACAGGTTCATAATGATGTAACCATTCTCTTCTTGAGGTCATGTGATATGTTGCTCCTGAATCAATGAGCCATATATCTACAAATCTTTTTCTACCTTCCACGGTGGTTGACGCTTCACAAAATAGAGCATCTCCATCATCTGAAGTGTTTGCAGTATTGCCTTGTGGATTGAAGTTTTTATTTAGACTCCAACAATCATTCTTCAAGTGATATTGTAGCACTTTAAATTCTTCTTACTCCTCGACTTCGATCTATCATGTTTGTGACTGCTGCTTTGGCCACGTTCTGTTGATCTCCCTCTCATCGTTGTCAACGCTTCTGCTTGTTGCAGATTTAATTGTCTGTCTTCCTTGTTCTGGCACCAATTTTCTTCTTGTAGAACAGCAGCTGCAACGTCATCGAAGACTAGACTAGTGACATTACTGTTTGTCAAGTTGATGATGAGTTGATCATACGAATCTGGTAGACTTTGAGTAGAAGTTCAACACGTTCTTGTTCTCATATTTTACAGCTTAAGGATGTAAGCTGAGGAAATAAAGTGTTCAGTGTGTTTAAGTGCTCCGTCACTGAAGTAGATTCTGGCATACGGAGAGTGTACAATTTCCTCTTAAGGAAAATTTTATTGTGCAACGATGTGACCTCGTACAGTTTGGTGAGATGATCCCATATCTTCTTAGTTGTCTTATTTTCCTCGATGCTTGACAATACTCCATCTGCTAATGCTAGATGAAAGTTTTCCATAGCATTTCCGTCCATTTCTATCCATTTGTTGTCATCTGTGAAATCTACCGGCCTTTCACTGATAGCCGCTAGACAACCGTTTTTCCTCAGGATGGCCTTCATCTTCAATTTCCACAATGAGAAATTTCTCTCATTGAATTTGTCAATATCAAATTTCATTGCCATAGATTCTATTATGGATAGCTCCCACTATTTCACTATCGTGAATAGTTCTCTAGAACCTTCAAATAATGGGTAATATCTTCTTACTTTCTTATGTTGGAGGATCCACCTTTTGGTGGCAACCACAAAGACAATAAGTAGATATTACACACTCTAATTTGGCTCTGATACCAATTGTTGCGGAATACGACTATCGTATAAAGTAAAATCGCAACTGATAATTTGAGAAAATAAAAATTAAGATAAAGAAGAAACAAACTTTACGTGGAAAACCCCTAAATAATATAGGGTAAAAACCACGGGAAAAAGTAGAAGAATTTCACTATGAGAAAATATGAATTACAACTTCTCTCAATCTAACAAGGAGAAAATAATGACAATTCTATCTTGATAAAAAAGGAGAAAACAACTCTCAAGAAAACTCTCTAAATTTTCTAGTATTGGGAGAAAGCTATAATGTTTTGGGATGGTTTTGAAGCTAAATGGGTTAGGATATTTATAGTTGAAGCTTAAGGACTAATCTTGTAAATACCCTAAAGTACAATGACTAAAATATGCAATTTTCCATGTTATTTTTCAACCATTATTGGTGCCAACTATCAACCATTATTGTTGCCAACTTTCAATATATTATTCAACAATTATTTGGTGAATCATTGATGCCAACTAGCTTGGTAAATTGCATGACAACTAATAAAGAGAGCTTGTCGAATTTCATTAACTGAGACGTTACTAACCAATACATTTCGCTCCCCATGTCTAAGCATAGGGCAAGGAAGTTTGGACAGTGGTGCTCGCAGATTATTTTCAGCCACAAATAAATCACAAAAATAGTAAACAACTAGCTGCTTTAACGAGCTTGGATCACTAACCCAATCTCAAAAATAATTTGAATTTAATGGTAAAATTGAAAATATGTTTTAAGTTAGTTTTATCATACGTAAATTTATGCATATGCCAATCTTTTATCTTTTTTATTTAAATTAAAATTATGTATAAATTTAGGTCTTCATCCGACTGTCCCTTATTAATTAAAATTCTTGGATGTGTTAATTATGTTTATACCAAAGCAATGATGTTAGTAATAATAATCATAATAAATATCAAACAGAATAGTGATGTATAGTATAATAACAGTGTTAGTCCTTAAAAACTATATCAATTTAGTTCGATTCCGAAACAATTCAAGAAACCCATTATATTTTAAAAAAATTATATCCTTTTAGTTTTTGTTATCTTAAAATATTATATTACTCTCTTGTTACTCTTTTGGTATACTGACAATTTAATAATAGTTTTGACCTATAATTAACTGATCTTAGATATTTTTTTTTCATTTTTGTATATTTGTAACAACATATGATTTTTTTTATATCTTAAAAATTTATTTTATCTGATAAAATGTTTATTTCACACAAAGTACCCTTAATTAGTACACTTTAACCAACTAAACGATAAGTTGGCTTTGCAAACAAATGATTAGCCCTCGGCAATGAGAGGCCGAACTTCTCGGTCATGTCCAGTTCGTTAGGCAACATACCATCAGGCAATTCCCAGTCGAAGCAATGGACTAATTGAGCTATAATCAAACGCATGGTGGTTAGCCCTAATAGCATTCCGGGGCACCCTCTCCGACCAGCTCCGAAAGGGATGAGTCGGAAATCATGTCCTCCGAAATCAATCTTGTTGTCCTCGAATCTTTCCGGAAAGAACTCTTCTGCATTGTCGGACCACACTTTGTGGTCTCGCCCCATGGACCAAGTATTCACCATGATTCTCGACTTCTTCGATATGAAATATCCGTCAACGATGATATCTTCCGTCGACTCGTGCGGGATTAAAAAGGGCGCCACCGGATGTAACCTAAAACTTTCTTTGATGATCATATCCAAGTAAGTAAGTTTCGGTAGATCCGACTCTTCTACCATCCTATTCCTTCCGACCACCCTATCTAGCTCTTGCTGAAGACCGAGCATTACTCGAGGATGCCTTACGAGTTCCGAAAGTGTCCACTCAATGGCCGTGGTTGTAGTGTCTAACGAAGCTGCCACCATGTCCACCATTATGGCCTTTATGTTTCTCCTATCGATTATGGACGATTGCTCATTATCTTTAGGGTTCACGGTATCCAACAACGAAACCATCACATCAACAAAATCAGTGTAAGGTTTTTGCACCTTGTGTTTAGTCCCTTGTTCATGTTGATCGATTATTTTGTCGAAAAATTCGTGAAGGCCTTTACTCGCCCTCTTAAGCTTTCTTGCTAGTCCCTGCAAAGGAGGAGAATGACTTATGTGAATACGACTGTAAGGACCAACACAAAATTTTATGTTAGGAGTAATGGATTTATAAAATTTTAAGAGAGGCGATCGCCCCAACCCTCCCTCGCCTAGGTCCATTCATGATTATAAACAAGGTGAACCAAGTAATAAGCTATTTGAGTTCAATTCAATCAAAATTTGGTTAACATTTAATACGGCTCAATGAGGAATTTAGAAAAATATTAATCATCATCTTTCGAATTTAGTCAAATTCGATTTTGAACCTTCTAAGTCAAACTCGACTTGTCTTGTATCCAGTCCTGTAACGTGAATACTAAAACATACATCAAATATGGTAATAATAAAACAATAATGAAAGAAAACTATTAACCTGAAGGTCAAGTGGAGCGAGGAAAGGAACAAAATCCGATAGATTAAAAGCTCCAGCAATGTTCATGACTTCTTCGATTAACGGCTTGAATTCGATTTGATCATCCATGGACCGTCCGAAAATAACCCTATACATGATCACTTCGATAACCTTACCGACCTGCCGGCTAAGGTCCACCGTCTTACCGCCTTCCGCCGCCTTCCTCACCGATTCAACCAACGAGGCAACCTCTTGCTTCCTCACCGGTGCAAAAGATTCAACTCTCGAAGCGCTCAGAAGATGCAAACTAAACCATTTTCGAACAGTTCGCCAATAGGGACCGTACTCGGAAAAAACCACCCCCTTGGGACCGTACGTCAAGTACTCGGACGCTCGGATTTTAGGTCTGCCGGCGAAAATGGCGTCGTGGGTCTTGAGGAAGAGCTCAACGGCTTCAGGTGACGATACTACAATCGTCGGTACGTGGCCTAACATTACGGACATTATGGGTCCGTATCTCTCGGCGAGATGGTGAAGAGTTTGGTGAGGGAGCTTTCCGATCATGTGGAGGTTACCGATTATCGGGAGGGGGAAAGGACCCGGTGGCGTTTTCCCGCCATTTTTGAGGCGGTTTCGTGACCGGAATAAGTAGAAAAAGGAACAGAGAGTTCCGAAGAGGATCAAGAGCAAAGCTAAGGTTGAAGAAGACATTTACGAGGGAGATGAAAATTCCGATGGCTGATGAAGAGACACCAACTAGATAGCTACTATATAGCAGAGCGATGAGATACGACAGGATCTGCATGTTCTTTTTAAAAAAATAATTGTCACGTCCTTTTTTCTTTTTGTCGCCAAAATTCAGCCACAAAATTTACTAAAATAATTTTTAAAAATTTTTATTTTGAAATATTTTAGTCCCAACATTTTAAAAAATTGTTGATATTTAATTAAATAATTAATTTTAACTTTTTTTTAAACATTTTGATTCTTAATGTTTCATTTTAAAATAAAAAGATTTTTTTAGAGCGTTAATATTTGTTAACTAATAATTTATATTCATAAAAGAATATTTCTTTCCGAAAATGAAACATTTATGCCCAAATTACTTCAATCATTAAATGAATAATTATTCTTAGATGTCATGAATATTATTTTATCATCACTTTAGTTTAATAAATAATAATAAAATTTACTTTTTTTTGTCGGCATAATTTTTTTTAATTTTTTTAACAGGTTACTTGAAATATTTAGATTGGTTTGGGTTTAGTGCCTTGGCCTTGGCCGTTGCTAGGCCTAATCCGGACGACGCACTGGTTATCAGCACATTACCCTTTCGGAAGGTCTTCTTTCCTTGTGGTGCTGCCTGATCAACTGCTGGAGTTGTGGCAGCCGTTTGTGCTCGAACAATTCCAGCAGGGACTTCCTTTTCCCTAAGTTCCTATAGTTCATTCGACGAACCAAATATGAAAAACTATTGACAAATTCACAATCTTTACAAAAAAACCAACATTTTATCTACCATTTTCAGTATGAAAACCATAAAATAGAAAGATATTTGGATGTTTCAGCAAGGGCTTCCTTTTTCCTAAGTTCCTATACTTCATTCAGCGTACCAGTTATGAAAATCTATGACAGAGTCACTATCTTTAGGAAAAAAACTTTGTATCTACCATTTTCATTTTTCAGTATGAAAACCATGGAATTGAAAGATAGTTGGATGGTTCACCTGAGTTAAAGGCAGAGGGAAGCTAAAATGGGTAGAGTGGAACGCCAAAGAGAGTTGTGTCCTTGGATTTGGGCTGAGGATGAACGGAGATGGTGGGTGGCGGTAGCAATGAGGCCGCTCGGAGAGCCATGAAGCCGCTGGTTTTTGATGGGATTTTTTTAGTGTAATAATTGTTATCTGGTTGGATGGTGAACGGAGACGGGGGCAGATAAGGTTGGTTCTTGATGGCAATACGCCATGTCAGCTTCCATTATCCAATGGGATTTGCTTTGATTTCTCTTCCAAGCTTTTTCATTTCTCCATTAACAGTGAGTTTCTGGGCCTTTTCGGCCTGCAACAATCCAGTCCAAAGGGATAATATGTGTCTTAATGGAAAATTACATTGATGAACTGAGGATATCAACGTTTACCATCAAATCGGTGAGAATTTATCTTTTAAATAATGCCAATTAAATCACTAAAATGTGATGTGACCGTTAAAAAATTAAGTATCAATATGAGTTGGTTCAAGTGATAAATAATTTAATATTATTTAAGTAAGTTTTTAAGTTCAAGTTCTTGTATATGTAAAAAAATATCTGATAGAATATTCATCCACCAAAATTAAGTATACGACGTGTCGTAACCGGTTTTCGTCCGGGCACGAAATATTAAATTTTGGCGAGAAAATTGATGTGAATAAATGGTTTTGAAAATAATTTGGGAGTCGCCATCGACCTTTTGGATCAGGTAGGTCGAATACCTAAAAATTATCTTTTAAAAGAGTTTTTAAGAAAACCATATTTAAAAGATGAACTGATCTGCGTTTTATAACCAAAAATTCGTTCTTTTTAATAATAAAAAGGGATTCGTGGTCGGTTACGTTTAGGGAAGGATTAGCACCCCTACAACGCCCAAAATTGGTACTTTTTAATTATAAATTGTCTCTTTTATTAAAATTTAAAAATTCAAAAATATATTTAATTTATAATCCTATTATTTCAAAATTATATAAAAAATATTTATTTATTTTTAATATTTGAAAAGAACTTCTAGGTGCCTTAAGACAGCTCTTTTCTTTGATATTGATAAATATTGATTTAAATAATATTGTTTACTTTTTAAATTTAAAATATCAGAATAAGACATCCAGTTGTATTAAGACTGTCCTTTTCTTCGATAATAAATATTTAAAAAACTATTCATTATATGTATATTTATGAATATATAAAAATATTTAACAATATAATAAAAATATCACTAAAACAATATATTTTAAGCATTAAAATGAAAACATATAAAATAAATAACTAAATTATAATAAAAATAAAACTAAATCTAATTCCTAATTAATAATTAATAATTAATTGAAATTATAGGGTTTAAATATTTTATTTTCTAATTTAATAATTTAGTGATCAAAATGAAATTATTTAAAATTTAAATTTTATAATAGAATAAATTAAAAATATGAACTAGGGATAAAAAAAAATTATTTATTAAAATTAAGGGATTAAATCTGTCATTTATCCTAAATATATTATTTTAATAAAAAGGACTAAAATGAATAAAATTAAAATTCAAAGACTGAATTAAAATTATTATAAATTCAGTTTAGTGACCAAAATGTAAAATTTACAAATACGAAGGACTGCGGAAGGGATTTAACTTTTCCATAATTACGCGCATAGTCCTTCCCGAAACGACGTCGTTCGGGAAGGACTATAAATGGTCCATACCGGCTGGCCCGAAGGGCCAGCCATTTCATTTCTTTTCTTCCCTCTCTCTCTCTTCTCTGAGAGAGAGAAATTTCTCTCGCTTCTCTCTAACACAGAGAGAAGCCCAGCCGGCCGGCAGCCGTTAGCCGGCGTTCATCCGCCGTCAACCACCGCCGCCGGCCACCGTCTCCGGTGGCCGGAAAAATTTTTCTTTTATCTAAACGTAGATCGGACCGTCCTAATGACGGTTCCGATGTTTTTTTTTCGTTAAACGGCTCCTAATCGGAGCAAATCTTTAAAAATACCTTCGATTTTCGAAGGTTTGCTGTGGAGCGTGGAGGCGCGTGGTTACTCCGGTGGTGGTGTGGCTTTCCTCGGTAAGTCTCTTCTTCCTTTTTCTCTCTTTTTTCTTCTGGTTCTTTGCTGCTGAGATCTTTGGTACTAGTTTGTTTTTTTTTTCTTTCTCTGTATTTTTTCATTTTCTGTTTCTATTTCTTCTTTCTGTCTCTCTGTGTTTTTTTTTTCGCATGTGGGTGGTGGCTTTTATAGCCACCACCGGTGTTCGTCTCGGACCGGTCCGAAGAGGGGGCTTCGGTGAGTCACCGGACTACCAGTGGTGACTCACCCCATAGCCTTGCATGGACGGCTGGTATATGATCTTCTGGAGTCTTCGGTTGGGATGTGGCAGCGGCGGAGGCGGCGAGGGCTGTCGGCAGCCGCGTGGAAGCTGGAGCGGCGCCGCGTGGCCCTAGGGTATCAAACCCTAGGGTTTCCTTCTGGCATCATCTGGACCGTTGGATCTTATCAGATCCAACGGCTGTGAGCTGAGGCGGCTGATCAAATTAGGGTTAGGAAACCCTAACTGGAAACCCAAATATTTAGGGTTTCTGGTTGGATTTGGACCGGTTTTAGTTGGTTTGTAACTGGGCCGGTTTAATTGTAATTGGTTTGTAATTTATATGGATTTAATATATTTAATAATAATAGTAAAAATAATAATAATAATAATAATAAAAATAATAATAATAATATTAATAATGATAATAATAATATTAATAATAATAATAATAATAATATGGATAAAAAATAGTATCTTCAGCTGCCCCTCTTTGCCCATTCTTGTGTTAACAAGAATAGGGCAAAGATGAAAAGATAATAAATTTTTTTATCCATTTGACTTTACTTTGATCATAATGGAGATATTGAGTAAATTCTTCTCTCTCTCCAAATAAGTTCTTCTTATTATGAACTTTCTGCTGGGGATGATGATGACCTCCTTTCTGTGATAGAGTCATTCAAAAGGTTGAATAAGCTCTTGATGAGTTCTTCTCATTATGAACTTTCTCTTCTTTCTTCATATAATATCAAACAAAGGTTGAACAAGCTCTTCTCATTATGAACTTCTTCTTCCTTCTTCAGATGAGTTCTTTTCATTCATGAACTTTCTCTGGCAATGTTGATCCATCAAATGATGAATTTAAACAAAAAGTTGAACAAGTTCTTCTCATTATGAACCTCTTCTTCCTTCTTCAGATGAGTTCTTCTCATTATGAACCTTCTCTGGTAATGTTGATCCATCAAATGATGAATTTAAACAAAAAGTTGAACAAGTTCTTCTCATTATGAACCTCTTCTTCCTTCTTCAGATGAGTTCTTCTCATTATGAACCTTCTCTGGTAATGTTGATCCATCAAATGATGAATTTAAACAAAAAGTTGAACAAGTTCTTCTCATTATGAACTTCTTCTTCCTTCTTCAGATGAGTTCTTCTCATTATGAACTTTCTCTGGAAAAGATGATCCACCAAATGATGGATTTAAACAAAAAGTTGAACAAATTCTTCTCATTATGAACTTCTTCTTCCTTCTTCAGATGAGTTCTTCTCATTATGAACTTTCTCTGGAAAAGATGATCCACCAAATGATGGATTCAGGTAAAAGGTTGAACAAATTCTTCTCATTATGAACTTCTTCTTCCTTCTTCAGATGAGTTCTTCTCATTATGAACTCTACCTTGCAATGTTAATCTTTCAAATGATAGATTTGAATCTTTGCTAAAATCTTTGAAATTCCTGTTAAAAATTCAACAAAAATGAATGAAAATGCATCTATTTTTGCAAATGCCTAAATATGATGCATGAATATTAAGTTGTTTGATTTTAGACGGGTGAATTGAGTATTTCTTCAATTGTAGAAACCCAATAAATCTTTCTTCTTCAAATCAGAGAATCTATCCTCTTTGACAAATGTAGAGGTAGATATAATGTAAAAAAAAATTCTTGAGAATAAAACTCA